CACGGTGGACAGTGATCATCCTGCAAAGTGGGGTAAGGGGCTCACGGGCAAACAAGCGGTCACTAAGGCCACCATGTACTGTGAACGGATGAGGCCATCTGCGTGCAGTGACCACCGAGTGAGCAGTGGAAAGCCGGACTCCCTGCAGGTCAGTGCAGCACCGGTCAGTGTAGAGCAGCAGTGAGGGGCTGCTGGAGGCTGCAGTCCAGCCCCCTGGCTCTCAAGGAGCCTGTGACACTGGCCCCTGCACGGAGCTCTGCCATTGGGTATGAGCGTAATAGGTGCTGCTGTCTGCTTCCTGGAGGTCTCCACACTGGGCAGAGGGCTTTCAGCTGAGTGAGTGACCATCAAAGGCCAGGCCTTGGGAGGTCAGTGTGGAACCTGCCACCATGAGACCCCACAGTGTGGGCATCGGTGTGGATGTCCTGTCGGCTGATGTCGGCTCCAGCAGAAGCTCATTGGGAAAGGCCCTGTTGGTGCAGTGGTCACGTGCTGTGCTGTTGACCAATTGTGTGAACCCACCAGCTGCTCCGAGTGAGAAGGATGCAGCCGTCTGCGTCTGGGAAGATTCCCGCCTCGGCCGCCCTCCTGGGCAGTGCTGCTCTGCCCGGTGGGTTGCCATGAGCCTGTGCACCAGTGAGCACTCGGAATCGGCTGTGTGGCAGTGGGCTTGTTGGGGTTAAACTGCGACTGAGGAGTCTTGGTTGTGCAGTGGTTAAAGGGTTGGCTACCAATCAAAGGGCCATCGGCTAGAACTCACCAGCCACTACCTGAGGAAATGAGGCGGTCTGCTTGCACAGACTCCAGCCCCGGGTACTCAAGGACAGTCCTACCCTGGCCTACAGGATTGGCATGAGATGGCTGTCAGCTGGACAGCAGCAGGGTTGATTTGATCGCTGACTGGTGGGCATCTTGTGATACAGACACCACACAGATGGTGCCGAGTTCACACCAGGGGCTACCAGCGTGCCACCTACTGGCTCTGGCCAACATCTGGAGGAAAGATGGTTTCAAGACACTGCATGAGTCGCCCCAGGATGGGCCCCTGCTCCCCCTGGTTTCTCTGTCCTCTCAGATCCCTGAGCTTTGATGTAAAGGACAGAGACAGGTGGGGGAGAGCCGGGGAACACAATGCCAGAAAGTGGGGAAGTTACTCCAGGACAGAGGGGTGAATAGGACATCCCTCAGTGTCCATACAAGGTCATTCTATCCAGGGGAGGCTCATGTCCTGAGAGGAGAGCTACATTCCTGGGGAACCTTCTCCCTCAAACCGCACACTATACAGAGGATCTACCCTGCCCTGCTCCGGGAGACCCAGCGACAGTCCAACTCACACTGTGACTGCGTGTGCGCTGAGGTGACTGTGTGTGTTTTTCTCTGTGTCTGTTTGTCTCTTCATACGGTGTGTGCATGCAGAACATCTGTGTGTTATGTCATATGACATACAGATGTGTGTACATGTGTCTGTGTGTGAGACTTGGCGTGTTTTGATTTATGTATTTATGTGTCTTCAAGCATCTGTTTGTATGTGACTGGTCTTGTGTGTCTCTGTATGTGCATCTGAGTCTGACGTATCTGTGTGTTTGAGAAGCCTATACATTCATGTACATATGTACCTATGTAAGTATGACTGTGTGTGTGAGACTGTGCATTGATGTGCACCTGTGTATATGCATCTGTGTATCTGTGTGCATTTTCACATCTGGCAGCGTGTGTGTGCAAGTCGCTGTGTATGTGTGCATGTCTGTGTATAAGTGAGCATGTTTCTGTGTGCACGTGTGTATCTGTGTGTGAAGCGCGTGTGTCTCATTAACAGAAGGCATCCTCATGACCCAGCACGCACACTCCATTTTCATCCAATTCTCCCTCCCTCTAAAGCTGATCACGATTCACTGAATTAGCTCCATTCTCCCCTAATGGGGTGACGACCTGCACTTTGAGAGGCACTGATCTAGGAAATGCAGACACCAGCAGATGCCTGGGCCTGCATTCAGTTCATCGATTAGCCAATTATCACAAATATCCACACAGTACAGTCTCTGTGCTCCCGAGCCTAGCTCAGGCTGGTGGGGCCCCGCAGACAGGTGAACCTTGGTGACCTGGACGATGCAGGGCGTGGGTGACAGCGTGGAGACCAGCTAGTGCAGGCTGAGGGGAGGTAGCAACAATTGTCTACACCAGAGAGTCAGAACTTTTGGCCAGTGAATTTTTCTGACTCATGACAAGCCCATGTGTGTCAGAAGAACAGTCCCGTGCAAATCCCGTATGTGAGGCCAGGGCTGAGGGAAGAAGGCCAGCCTGAAGCCACAGTGGCTGGGATGGAAGTGGCGGTCCTATGCCCAGATGATAATCAGGTTCCTTAAAGCCTCCCACGCACAACACCAATTTATGGCAAATTGTGAAACCTCACAGCACTAATTTACCATCTATAAAAGAACTGAGATACAATCAGGGAACTGAGATTATAAGCTCCAATTATACAGTGTTTGGGTCAACAACTTGACTAACCTTTTAAGAAAGCTTTATAAACGGGTCAGCACAGGCCAGGAATTCTGCTGGAGCCGGGTCACATGCTGTTCCCAGAAAGGCCTGCGGTGGTCTCTGAGTCAGTGCGCATGCACTCAAGGAGCCTGACCACCTCAAGCACTGGGGGCCTCTGTGCTGACGGTGAAAGCACTGGCTCGTCGGTGGAAAGTCAGCTCACCAACCTCTGTCCATTAAAAGGAGAGCAATATCCTTGTAGCGTGGGCTATGCCACCCTCTGGGCGAGTCCAAGGCCCCCGAGAGGATGCATTCTTTCCCTGACCACCTTCCTCAGCCTGGACAACAGCGTCTTCTGTCATATCGGTAGCACATTCATGTGGCCGCACTGGGCTACAGCAGCAGGTGCCTCCAGGGCGTGCTGAGGCTGGGAGGTCCCCAAAACTCGGAGACAGAAGGTTCCTGAGGGTCTGTGTCTCACATGAAGTCAGGGCTAGATTTGGAGCTGACCAGATGGAGCAAGATTCAAAGCCCATATCCACGCGCTACCAACCACAGGGCTATCAGGAGTGTGCACAGCTCCAAGCTGCAGGCTTCACACCAAGGTGACAGCCCTGAGCTCGGGGACCTGGAAGGCCAAAGGGAGTGTGAACCAACTGACCACTCTCAGCAACATTCATCAGGTGAGTTAAGTGCTCGGCAATGCGGCTAGCATCCTGTCACAGTAGATGTCCAACCTTTCCTGACCCACCAGGGAAGTGAGCGGCCTATCCTTCAACTCCTCAGAGTGGGCTAGTCCTGACCCCCCGGGGCAGTCCTGCTGGACTTAGACCGGACTGACATGAAGAGAACTTGGCTGTAGGGATCTTCTGGCAATGCATGGCGTGGTTCTGGACAGGTAGGCCTTGCTCTGTTTCAAGGGTGGGTGAGCGAGGCTCTTCGTTAAGATGCTGGAAAGACTAAACATTGAAGGATTCAACAGGAGGCAGATATTCTAGGGAACAGAGATGGACGGACCAGCGTCAATCACCATCCACAGTGCCTCACCTGGCCAGGCAGACCTGCTCACAGGATTTCCAAGGCTGTTTACAGAGGCAGACGGCCCCGTCTTTCTCTAGTGGAGCAGCTGCTGGGTTTGAACTGCGTTTTGGATCCTAATGGAACGATTCAACCACTGAACCACCAGGATTCCTGGGGACAGGAGTAGCTGGGCACAAATTTCAACAACGAACCAAGAGGGAAGAGATAGAAATACTAGCAGTCAGTAGATGGAATCCTGTGCTGGCATGAGATGCCAGGATGGGAACTGCCTTGGTCCTCCGCTGGCCCTGTATGGTGGGCTCTGCATGGTGGGGACCTCCCTGATGGACCCGGAAGTCCCTCAGTGGTGGAAATGGCTAATGAGTTTGTTTTACCAACAAGGCGGAAGTTCCAGTCCAGCCCCAGGAGCCGCAGAACAAATGCCTGGTGACACACCCTGGAACAAACCTCCAGAGCAAACCCCAAGGAGCACTGCTGGACTCGGCTCGCATGGTGGCACCGTGAGTGGGGTACTGCTTAATGTGGACGCAAGTGAGGTGTGAACAGCAGGAAGTCCCCAGGGCAATCTGGCCAACACAGACAACTTCTGAGCAGGTCACTGATGGTGTGGCCCATACCCGCTACTGGTCCCGCCAAGTACGCTGCCGCCCACTGCAAGCATCACATGACCCCTCAGTTTCCCGGGCTGGCTGGTTCCACATTTTGATCTCAGAAGCTGAGACAGGCAGAAGGGGTGTATGGATGCATGTAGGCTGCTCCGCGGGATCCCGCTGAGGAAAAGCAGGAATTAGTTAAGTGGTCATTAAGGAGTGATGGATCATTGACAACAGAAACACAGTGTGATGCTGAAATCAGCCGCCCAAGACCAAGGGCTTTCACCCGGACAATGCAAGCTGGTGTTTCTGTGGTCCCCAGGGTGGACCTGCCATGCTGGTGGCTATGGTGTTGGGTGGACAGAGCGGTTGTCCTTGTGGCTGTGGGGTTGGGTGGAAAGCTGCCATTCTGATGGGAGTGGGGTCGGGTAGACAGAGCTGCCCTGCTGGGAGCTGTGGTCCCTGGGGAGGACAGAACTGTCGTGCTGATGGCTGTAGTGTCAGGTGGACAGAGCTGTCATTCTGGGGACTTTGGGGACAGGCAGAAAGAGCTGCCCTGCTGGTAGTTGTGGTCCCCGGGGTGAAAAGAGCTGCTATTTTGGTGGCTGAAGATGTGAGAATGTGTCAGAGCTCTGGAGGCTCTGAGCACAGTCCCTGGTGAATTCGCTTGACTGATAACCAGAGGCTGGAGCTTCAAGTCCACCTGAAGGGGACTTGGAAGAAAGGCCTGGCAATCTACTCATGAGGAGTCAGCTGCTGAAAACCCCACAGGGCACTGTCTCTGACACATGGGGTCTGTGGAGCTCAGTGACAGCTTGGATCACTGGGGCTTCAGGTGTCAGAGGGGGCAGTGTGCCGGGCGGCAGGTCACTGGGAGGACGGAGCACATGGCTTATCTACTCTCAGTATCTGCTTTACACAGGGCAGCAGGGGCTCACCCAAATCTAGACGTTCATCCAATGCCCCAGGTGCACATTCAACCCCCTCAGAGTCTACGAGGCAGGAGAGAAGAAAGCACAGGGCTGGGGAAGCTCCGAGTCGCAATGATGTGGGGTGTCCTGCTTCACACACGAGAGACAGTGTCGAGGAGTCTCCCACCACCACCACTAGTGACCAGGCCACTACAGACACCAAGTGAGTCACCCACCACAGCCACTCTGTGACTCTGCCTATCATAGTGTCCATGAGACTCTGTCCATCAAAGTCACCACATGATCCTTCCCACCACAGCCACCATGAGGCAGCTACTTCCTGGGCCTGCCCCAATGCCATCATGAGGAACCACCACATGGACACCAGTCAGAGTGGCAGCAAAGCCTTGTGGTGAGTCCAGGTCAAGCTTCAGAATTGTAGCCTTCAGCCCACACCTGTCTCTTGACCGCTGGACACTCTGATCATGGTCACACCATCACTGGACTTGTGGGCACCCCACGCATGACTGTAGTATGACTGGACCCTTGAACACCCCAGTCATATCCACACTACTGCTGGACCCATGGAGACCCCAAGCCTACACATGCTATGACTGGACCTGTGGACACACCAGCCATATTCACATCATCACTGGGCCTGTGGGTGCCCTGAGTTTGTCCACCATATGAATGGACCTGTGGACACTCCAGTCAAACACACATCATTGCTGGACCTGTGGACACTCTGAGCTAGCCCACACCATTGAGAGACCTGTGGACACCTGAGCTTGTCCAAGCCATCACTGGACCTATGGACACCCCAGTCAGACCCACCCATCGCTGGACCTGTGGATGCACTGAGCTTGCCCACCCCAGGCTGCACAGGGCACCACAGAAGGAGGGAGGTTCTGGCAGGGAGGATCTTAAGACCCAGCAGTAGGGAAATGAGCCCTGTGAACCCCAACACTCATGGGGACACAGGCTCAACTTCTCAGGAACAAAGGGCCATTCCTGGGCCCCAGTCACATCCCTCCCAAAAAGCATGTTCCAGGACCCTGTGTCTCTAACATGGACCTCACATCAAACCGGGGCCGTGACTCCAACCTTCTGCTGCTCCCCACCAGAGCCCTCTCAACAACAACTGCGAGAACACACCATCCTGAGAAGCTTGGTGTGAAGCCCAGGGAAGAACCCCGCTGGGCCCCAGAGCAGCAGCCCAGGTGCACAGCTCTCATTCTCCATCCATGCTTCAGGTGGCAGGTGCCAGCTGGTGCCTCAAACCTCAGCAGGTACAACCAAGGGCTGCTGGCTCGTGTGCTCACCTGGGCAAACAGTGCCCTCACCCTGGGCTCACGGGCAAAGCTGGAGGCAGCTGGTGGAGACGGAGACAGACAAACAGACACACACACACCCCTGGCCGGCCACCTCTCACCTGCCCTGGAAAAGGCAGACCTACTAATCTGTAGAATCACAAGAACCAGCACCTCAGAAAACAAGACCAAAGACAGACTGAGAGATGGCAGATGAAAAACAACTCAGAAAGATAGTTGATATGTAGGTAAGTAGAGAGCTGGAGAATGGATGGATGGATAAGACAGATTGATAGACCGATCAATTAACTGATCTACTGATCAAAAGATAGGCAGGCAGACTGAAAGATAGAAGACAGAGAGATAGATGGATAGAGTTGATGGAGAGACAGGCCAAGTGACACGCAGATAGACAGTTGAGAGTTAGATGACAGACAGACAGAGAGACAAGAAAAACAGTTGGTAGCTAGACATATAGTTGATACATACATAAATGGTCGACAAGCAGGCAAATGATAGGTATACTGATGGTAGGTGTACAGACAGATGGTTGATGGACAGATGGTAGACAGATCTCTCTCTCTCTCTCTCTCTCTCTCTCTCTCTCTCTCTCTCTCTCTCACACACACACACACACACACGCACGCGTGCGTCACACGGATCTACACCTCCACTCTGTCGGCTCTGTTCCTGCCAGCTCCGGCTGATGTGTGGCCATCAGTCATGGCAGACAGCCCTCAGGTGCTCCAAGCATCCTCCTCCCAGCATCTGCATCCCTTCGCCCTCCCACTGCAGTAGCACAGGGCGCGGCCACTTACCGTGGTGGTCTTGATCCGCCCACCGGGCTGTGTGCAGGTCCAGCCGGAGCGGTTGATGAGCAGGTCACAGCCCTCTCCCTCCAGGCACGGGAGCATGTCACACCACTGCTTGGTCTTGATGATGCGAGCTAGGGACAGAGAGAGCGAGTAGATCAGCATGTGTTTACCCAGAGTGGGCATTCCAGGGCTGGGTCCCAGAACCACTGCATGAAGGCTGGCTGAGGCCCCACTGAGAGTTGAGGACAGACAGAGAGAAAGTGGTCAGCATGTGGCCATACAGGATGGACATTCCAGTGCTGGGCCCCCACTGAGAGCAGTGAAGAGAGACATAGAGAGGGAGAACAGAGAGCACGAGAGAGTGAGAGAGCAAGAGAGCAAGAGAGCGTGTATGAGCAGATTAGCATGTGGCCTTCCAGGGTGGATGTTCTAGGGCTGGGGCTTGGCACCACTGCACTGAGGACCAGCCTGAGGCTCCACTGAGAGCTGGGGACAGAGAGTGAGACAGCATGTGGTCATCCACGGTGGCCCTTCAGGGTCCCAGTCCCATGGTCACAAGGTGTGGGTGAAACTAAAGATATGTGAGGCAAAAAGAGAGTAGGCCAGCGTGTGGTGGTCCTTCCAGACAGGACTTTAGCACTGAGGGCTATGGTCCACAGGCAGCCCTAGCTGACCGCTGGTTCACTTGTCCTCCTCGGCATCAAGTTTCTGGGTGGCAGCAGGCCCTTCTGCTCACTGAGTGCTTGTCTAATCCCTTTTCTGTATCTCAGAAGAGATTAATTCAAAACACAACCTAAATCCTGTAGATTGCATGACTGACTTTAATTAAACATAATGAAGATTAGTTACAACACAGAAGAGAATAGCATCATATGACACACCAGCACGTAATTACCTAATACTGAGAATCACAGCCCAGCCACATTGACACATGCTTCAGGACCCAGGGTCCCTGCGCTGAATACCTCCTAGTCTCTGGGTAAGACAAATGCCAACACACATGACCGCCAAAGCCTGCTGGGACTGCAGGTGCCCAAAGGAGCCAGGTGTTTCAGAAAGCTGGGCCCTAGGGCTGGCCCTGGATTTAGATGTCTAGCCCCCTGGATAGGAAGGGACCACACCTCTGTGAAAGCTGCCCACTTGTATATCCGTCATTCCAGCAATGGAGACCAAGAAAGATGGCCCAGAGATGGGATCTGGGAGTCCTCAAAGGTGGACGCACAGATGCTTCTGCTGAGGACAAAGCTGGAAAGACAGACGGACAGCTGCCTGAGTGTGAAAGCTTTCCCAGGTGAGGCCAGATGCGCACACCCTGATGGTCACTGAAGGAGGTTAGTCTGGCTTTGGGGAAACTCTTCTCAAGGACAGGTGGCACCCTGGGCTACTGCTTCCAAGGGAGCGGTGAGGGAGGAGGGTGTCACATGAAGGTGTGGGCCACTGCCCCTCCTACAGGGTGGACGTGAGGAACTGGACTATAGTTTTGCCACAGCTCAGGTCACTGTCCAGCCTGCTCATCACCCAGTGTCCACTGCTGTCCCTGTCCCCAAGGAGACGTTTCTGGTGACAGTGAAAAATGACATGAAACCGTGCTGGACACTCAGAAATGCAAAACGTTATCTGCAGCGGGCTCCTGGATAAACGCTCAAGTGGACTCAAGCCAGGGAGGAACCTGACAAATTCGAGAAGTGAGGAATTTTTCTCCGGTGTCAGCCAGCAAGGGGTGCGGGCACGCGGGGACTGCACTGCGGACTCAAGCATGTGCTGTCATCAGTCCCATTTCTGTGCTATGCTTATGAGGCCCTGTCCCACGACGGTGTCCTAAACCAGCAGGAATGGGGTAGAAATGGCCAGACGAAGCACTGAAGCAAGGCGGCCCCGAGGTAGGAGGGCAACATCTGGAGATGGTGTACACACTCTAGCCCCCCACGCCAGCGCTCCGAGGGGTTCGGGTAGAGACACCATGATGGGAACTGCCCCGGGGCCCACAGACGGCCTTCCCTGAACTCGGATCTCTGGACTCTGAACTGTCCCCAGTGAGACCCGGTGGCTGTGACAACACGGAAACGGTGAGGGTGACCCAGGGCAGGCAGGGTTTCCTTCTCCGGGTGTGTGGGGTCACCAGGAGCTGGAGAAGATGCGACGGCACCTGCCAGCAACACAGGCAGCCAGGGCGCTGCTCAGAGGTCAGGATGGGGACGCTTTGCTGCAAAGGCCTTGCCCAGGCTGTCAGGAGGGGCCGGTCCCTGGAGAAAGACTGGGAAGGTGGAGGGTCAGAGAAAGAGGGGAAGACCCTCGACAAGATGGATGGACACAGTCACCGGAACAACGGGCTCGGCCACTGCAGAGACCTCGAGGACGGTGCAGGCAGGGCTCAGATCTGCTGCTTGTGGGGTCACTCTAATCCTACTGGACTTTATGGTGGCTAACAGTAAAAACCACCTTGGGAAGCACATTTCTGTCTTTCCAGCGGCTCACCTGAGGGACTTCTGTTAGTGAAACACTAACACACTAAAGCAGTGGCAAAGGGGCCCGGCTCAGGGGACTCTCGGCAGTTGTGACACTGCTTCTGGGCAGGGGAAGCCTTGTCCCGGGCCCCTTCCAATTTGGAGACAGGCTTGCTGACACACAGGGGCTCAGACAGGGTCCCCAAAGTGTGCCAAAATTCGTGAGGTGTGCTGAGTGGACAGAGACCCTGAGGTGAGTCACGCAGGATGGAGTCCTGGGGTGTGCAGGGTGGGACACGCTGCCTGAGGTGAGCCAAGTGAGACTGGGTCCCTGGGGGGTGCTGCGTGGGATGGGCACAGGAGCAAGGGGAGTACAGTGGGAGGCCAGAGTACAAGTCCTGGTTGGTCTGCAGCGACCACAAGGATGGCCCGGGCCCAGGAGCTCAGCATGAAGCTGAAGGGGGAGAGGGGTCAGGTTCAAATCCCCTGTGGCCTTGTTCCATTAGAAGTTGAATGAGGGAGGCACGTATTCTGGGCAGCTGTTGCTGAGGGGCTGCGAGAGGGGCTGTGATGTCCAACACACACACACACACACACACACACACACACACACACACACACCCAGAACATCAATTCCTATGTGTATACACACCCCACACATATACATGTACACACACACTACATATTTAAGTGAGCAACAAAGCACATTCACGCACAAATGCACAAAGTCACATACTCAACCATGAACTAGAACACACAAACACATAACGACCATGTGTGAAATGCCCACACGTGAGCATGAGCGCTTCCGGGTGGGCATTTCTCCAAAGGGGGGCTCTGCTCTCCTCAGGTCCCCCCCTCACACAACACGCACACACACACACACACACACACACACCCCAGGCGTGCAGCACAGCCCTCCCAGGGGTCCAGCGAGCAGGGGATCACACACCCCCTTTGTCTGCCACAGGCCCAGATCACCCAGCCCACTTCCTGCTCCGGGCACCGCCGGGAGGAGACACCGGCTCTGGGTCCCAGAGACAAAGGGCCTTTCAGGCCGCTGGTTACAACTTCATCTCATGCTGACACGGCCAGAACACGGCCACCCCTCAGCGCGCTAGGGCGGGTTCTGACGAGAATCAGGGGCTGATGGCCACCTCTGGGAGGACACACGGCAGGGTCACAGCCTACTGTCACCTCAGAGCTGTGGGTTTACGGGGTGGGGTGGGTTAGGAGAGTGCACCCCTGTGTGTGGGGGCCAGTGGACGGAGCATCATGCTGTGGCCCAACGGAGAGGCCCAGGCGTGGTGCACACCCACCACACTGGATTCTGGGCAGAAGACTGTCCCGCCTCCCGACACTGACAGTGTGGCATCCACCACATCACGCACAGCTCAAGTCTCAGGCGCTGCTGCTCCCATGCCCACGTTGCCTAAAGGTGCCCACAGGCACCCAATTGGGCCATGCAGTACCTGCCAGAGTCAGGTCTCCAAAGGGGTCCACGAACACACCACACAATGTATACATGGCCACACAGGTGCACCCCCAGGACCTGCCGTGGTCTGATCCACAGACGTGTCCACACACACACAGCACACAAGTACACATGTGACCACATAGGGACACACTAGAACCTGCTATGGTCACACACACACACGTCCAGGCACACAGCAAAGGCACCTATACACATACGGCCACACACCTCACATAAGCGTTCATGTCTACACGTATGTGTCAGTGTACACACATATACACCTTTACACATGTCCACACACACTCACACACACTCACACAGGCATGTGTGCACACACCCTGCACACACGTACACACCCACAAAGGTAGGTCCATTCATATCTCCCCACATACGTGTGCTCAAACTCTGGTGAATATGTACGTGATGTGTGCTCACACCCACATATTACAGCGACAGAGGTGTGTGCACACAGCAACACAGGAGTGTACACACACACACACACACGCGCGCCATGTGCTCTGTGGGAACAGGCCGGAAGCTCCACCAGCAGCCCCTCTGAGAGTCACCAGCTGACAGCAGGTGCTGACTCTCTAAAGTGCTCTCCAGACCCTTTCTCTCTCCAGCCAGACCCCCCACTGTGCGCAGGGGGCTGACTCCCAGGAAAGTGTTCCCCGCACCCCACATTCCTGCAGCCATCACTCCTACTGTGCCCAGGGCAGAGATTCTGCCTCAGGCCTGACACCCTTGCGTGAAGGGGCTGGTCCTGCTCAGGCCCTCCGGACCACAGCAGTGGAGACTGAGGTAGCAAGGGTCTGGGGGGCGGGGGGCTGCCCGCTCAAGCAGGAGGGCTCAGGAGAGGCTGGGGGAGGGGCAGAAGCAAGGGAGGAAGGAAAAAAGGGAGAAAGGAATCGGAGGACGTGTGGAGGGACAGGACTGCCATGCACAGTGACCTTTATGAGCTGGACGCCACAAGCCTGTGACTCTGGATAGGGCCTCTGCCTGTGACAGGACCACCTTGCATTCCTGGAAACCCTGGGCTTTTCCCTCTCCTGCAGGCCTCTGACTTCCAAGGTTCCAGGTTTCCCACATCCACAGCCGTCAGGAACTGGATTTTCCCCTTTGAAGCGGAGTCCAGGCCTATCTTTATTTATTTATTTAAGACCCCCTTCTTCTTATTTAAGATATACGTACAGCAAATATACATCAGTCAAAC